GGATTTTAAGGTCATCCAAGAAGCTTTAGTGCTTTGCCAAAAGTTTAGGTCCACTTCCTGAGGCAATTTCATTAGAAGACAGCTGATGTTTGCTTGGTTTACTCCCAAGTTATTTTTAGAAACTAGAGATTATCACTGATGGCACCCATTTAAATTTGCTCATTTACGTTTTTATATGCTACCAAATATGATTAGAGTATGCTTTCAACTAATTGCTGACAGATTTACTACATTAGGGATTTTCTAAGCCATTAGATTCCTACTATCATCAGATTGCTACTAACTAGGTTTGGCTAACTTTGTGCCAACTGCTCCAAAGTTGAGATGAACCCTTTCAGCCCCCAAAAAAACCAGAGAACTTGGTTTCACTTACCTAAGAGCACAAAGAAGTTAGAGAAAACGAATTTTGGAATCTACTTGGTACACACTTTGCTCTGTGGCTTGTGATTCTGAAAGTCTGGGATTAACAGGGAACGAATGCAGGTGCGCATTCATGTAGACTCCAGAGCCTGCAGCTGCCGTTTCTCCCCTACTCACAGGTGGCTGTAGTGCATTTGAAGATTCCTGGAGTAGACTCTGTTTTAAGAGTGTCCTGCACCATTTATAGACCTGTCCCCAGTTCCTCCATGGCAGGAGCCCACTTCTGCTACTCAGTGCTTACAGAGCACATCCAACACACTCCTGCCTTGAGCTCATGCTCCCCATGTTCTAGGTTGTCTCTTATGACCCCTGAGTCTGGTTTATGTTATCTGCCTTTGCAAGCAAGAGAAGTAGTACCAGAGGGTTTTAACAGTGGCAATCTCATCACTCGCACAGCAAGAAATAGACCATGAGATTCTGTTTTCTCAAGATTGTCTTCATCCTTTTGAATAGGCCTCATCATTTCCATGCCGACAGATGCCACTTTTTCCCACTATTCCTTCTTCAACTCTTCCCATTTTCTTTCTTTAATCTTTTCTTTCAGATTTCGTACTTGACTCTAAGAACATATATATAGTGATAAATTTACTAGCTCTATAGGAAACTCCCTGATAAAACTAAGATGGTCATACATATGATCATACACAGATTAATTTTATATGATCATACATAGATGAATTTTTCAAAGCGTCTGTAACATACAGCGCCCAGCTCCAGCTTAGCCCTCCTTGGCACTCTAGGTGGCATCTTTTGATCTGGTGCAGGCACCACATGTCTGTCTGTTCTGTGTTATAACCAGTGGCAAATCATGGTATTCTGACTGGGCAAGTCCACAATATTATTTTTTCTGCATTTTTTTTCCAGTACCTCCTCCTTTGGTGGTTTACTACCTAAAGTGGTGGTAGAGCCTCTCAGCTCAGTATGCATATATTATCACTAGACTTTAGTCTGGCATCTAATTTCTTGTGCTTGCCCATCAAATCTAAGTCTCAGTGATCATTCTGCAGGGGCCTCAGGCCAGGAATCCATGAGTTTCTGAGGAGACTAGACAGAAATCATGGACCCAAGGGAAGAGTGATGACCTCATATTCCACTAGGGACTAGATAAGGAAGAGAATATACATGGAAGGGGTGTGGGTATGTATATTTAAATTAGAGCAGAGTCACTTCCCAGAAGAGTTCCAGTCATTGAGATTGGTCAAGTTACAACTAGAATTGCACTGCGTTTGTCATGCTTAGCACATTAAGAGACTTAGCTGTGAGTGCTCCTCTCTCTGGGGTAGTAATTAGTGCACTGACTGCTGTCTATAAAACAACAACAACAGGACCCCCACTACTTTACATTAAATGACAACCATAGGAGTTTTTCTCCTAAAATATTTTAGGTAGCCCAGGCAATCAACTATGAAGTGATTTGTAATGCTTTGTGAATTATAATATCTGAGATAAGTTGGTAAGACTATATACCACATAGCAATTTATCATCAATATAAATCCCAGAAATGTCCTGAATAAGGTCTCCGTAGCCATATAAGCTATACATTGTTTTGAGAAGAAAAAAAAAAAAAAAGCTGATTCAAGAAAAAATGTAGGATTACTGCAACAAGCCAGACCCTGGTCTCTCAGGCCCCTGTGGCTCTAATCCATAATCTCATAGTCTGATGACAGAACTATATGCTTGCCTCAGAACTTATAGTAGAATTATGAAAAATGTTTTGAAAAGCAAAGCATCATTTTAAGGGATTCCCTGAAATCCCCTGAGTTTGTAAGTTACCACATTGGATGCCATATTGGCCTAATCTTCAAAAATTAGCAAGTAACTACAATGGAGCTACTGCCAGACTCTCCCAGTATCTTGAATTCCCCAGCTCAAAGTCAAAAGGAGCCATCATTTTGTATCAAGAGGCTGAAATATCCTATTCTCATCCGTTCTTCCCTTTTTGGGGGGAGAAGATTAAAGGCTTTTCTCTTCTTGTTCTTCATATGTGCTCATGATCCATTCCCAAATCAACTTCTCCATGTTATTTTTCATTTCATTTGCCAAACCAGGAAGGATCCTTGACCTCTGTTTCTCCCTCCTCATTATGCTCACTCATTTGCCAAGTTTACCTGTTTTAGAGTAATTTCTTCCCCCTTTTCTACAAGTTAACTCATATTCATCCTTCATATCTCAGTTTATGTGTCACTTTCTAAACTGAAGATACCATCCTTGACTCCCTGAGTTTCTTTATGAGTCAGGACGGCTGAGTTATACTACCATAATGATCAAGCCCTAAAACTCAGTGGTTTAACACAATGAAGTGACTATTTCTTACTCATGCTACATGTCTGTCATGGCTTAGAAGGTGAGCTTTTCTCATTGTAGTTTCTTAGAGACTCAAGCTAATAGAGGTTCTTTCTCACCTGTGATTTCATGAGAGCCAAGATAGGAAAAGAAATATGGTGAATCATTCAGTGACTCTTAATTTCTTTTAGAAAGTGATATATTTCCACTCATACAATTATGAGTGACCAGCTTCCCCCACTCTAATTTTTGTGAAGGTAGGATTACTTGTCTTAATTACTATTCTCTCTGGTGCCTTAGTTAATATTTGACACATAATAGGAATTCAAATATATTTGTGGAATGAATGAATGAATGAATATGGCAGAACTTCTTATTTTATAAGTTCTTAGTCCTGTATTCTTTCCTCTACCATTTCTCCTTGAAGATCTTATCCCTTGCCTTGATTTCAGCAATCACTTCCCAGAGAGTGATCTCCATACCCTGACTTCAATCAGATATCTCCAACTATTTACTTGATATTTCTACTTGAATTTATAATGCATAAGTTTGAATTTATTCATTTAGTAAATACTTGTAGATTATTTTCTGGTAAGGATCATGATAAGTGATATGAGGATACAGAAATAATTAATAGTACTTAACCTTCTGAGTGCTAACAATTCAGTATTATACAAGGAATAATACAGTGAGTCTGTAATACATTCACAATGTACGAAACACTGATTCTAAAGAGAAGAGAGACAAATGACTTTGGGCAGGATGGAATTAGAACTTGTGTTGGTTCAACTATCCAATCTGTTGAGCCAACATCATTACTGAAAAGCGTTCTGGGCTGGGTACTAGAGACAGCATGAGCAAAGTGAAGTTTTTATCCACCTCACAATCCAGTAGGGAAACAGGTAGCTAAGGAAACAGCATAGATGAGGTTTTGATGAAGAGCAGGACAGTGATTGAGAGGTAATGGGGAGGGAGCAAAGGAAAACATTTCCACCAGAGGGTTCCACTTGATTAAATATCTGGAGGCAGAAATTATTGTTGGTATTTATGCCAGGAAAGATGTAATGAGGCACTCGTTCAGGTGGCGACAATGAGATTCGACTAGGATAACTTTTCTTAATTGTCACAAATACTTTAAAGACCAAATAAACACAGGTTGTTTTTCAACTTAATATAAAAAAATGTTAGTATTATGTGTTTAATTTACTTTATTTCTCTACCTAATTCTAAATCTTCTAAGGATAAAGGAATATTATGATACCTCAAGCAAGATGCAGGTGGGAACCAGAGCAGGCTTTGCCATCTTGTGCACAAAGGTTTTCAGCCAGAAAGATTGGGCTGGATGCAAAAGTTGGTTCTAACTTGTGACTCAAGCGGGATGCACTAAGTCCCACTAACAGTTTCTGAACTAGGAACCACCATCACTTACAAAAGGGCTGTTCTTGAGGCTGTGGGCACTTATATATTCAACTGATACAAAAACTAATTTATCTTACTGCTTTGAAATTGCTGTGTCTTTGCCAGAATATAACTTCCTTTACAATTGTTTTAATTTGCATTTCTTTGGCTGTCTTAATGTACTCTTCTTGTCTTTTGTCTAGTTTTATAGGTATATCTATCTGATCCTTCGTACCCACCTTTTTTTTTTTTGGCAGGGTGGGGGGGGGTGGATCTCATTGTTGCCCAGGCTGGTCTTAAACTCCTGGACTCAGTTGATCCTCCCACCTCATCCTCCCTAAGTTGGCACCACAGACATGCCCTATTGTGCCTGACTCATAACCAAGTTTTAATTCTCTTGTAAACTGTTTTACCATTATGATCTGACATGAGTTGATGTGATTCTGGTCTTTCAACGTTACTCCTGCCTAACAGGGCCACATTGTGGCTCCATATAGCACTTGAGTTACAACACTGAAGCCATGCTCCTGGAAGATATGAGAGACCAACTGATAAACATGATAGGATCTGTTAGTTGATTAATGATCAGCTGTCCTTTGGCATGCCCGGGTGTGACACCTGCAGCTCTGAGTGTTGAAAACAGCCTTAACCTGATCTCTATGTAGCCATGATCCAATTATGTTATCTCAGGCAAGTCATTTAATTGCTTTGGACCTCAGTCTTTTTCCAGTTCTAAAATCCTATAATCTACTAAATTCTAATTTATTGTGGTCTGAAGTATTGGTGTTTTACTGTGCTTTGTTTAGGTTTGCTCAGGAATTGACTACATTTAATGTTGTTGGAAATTGACATAATTATGGAAGGCAGTGAGATAATAAATGGTTCTGTTTTCTTCCAGATCTTTGATGATGCATACAAATCCCAACTCAGTTGTGTGGTTGTGGATGACATTGAGAGATTGCTAGGTGAGTCATAACTTTGGCCATGTACTCTCTTTGCCACTTTATAGCTGACGTCTCAAAAAATTAAGAGTCAAATAATGGATATTTATAAACTTTAGGGCAAGAGAAATATTGTTCTTCATCATACAAGGAAATATAACTCTACTTCTTGTGTCTACTGTCAATCATAATATTCATTCATGGTAAAATGCCTGTTACCTTTACTCTGTTATAAACTGCTTTCTTTTAAGGACCCACGTTTCATGTTATTTTCTATCTTGTACAGTGTGTTCTTCATAGTAAATTATTAGTATTTTGGGGGTGATATATTTGCTATTCAGTATCTATCTCTGAGATGCCTATAACTCAGAAGTCCACTTGTAAACTTTGACAGAATGAAAGAAAGAAGAGTTTAGGATTGTAGTAAAACCCACAAATTTGCTAGAATACTTGGGCAGAAGTTGTAAGCTCTCTGTACATCCGTTTCTATTCTTACAAAACAATTTATAATCCTTTTTATGCTAATACCACAGAGTAACTGTGAAAACAAAAATGGAAAATGAATGTTGAAAACGTTCCAAAAGTTTCAAGTGCTCTATAGTAATTTTTTAAAATATTTATTAAACATCTTTTATGTTGAAGTGCAGTCCTATGGGACACAAAGATGAGTAAGACTGAGTCTCTGCACTCAACATAGTAATTGCCAGAAAATTCTTGTACTGTTACATTTTATTCATTGTAAAATTAAATCAATCTAGCATAAATCATAACAGTGGATCAGGATAGAATAATAAAATCCATTGGAAAAAAAATCCACCTGGTGACTTAATAAACATCTGAAAATACTACTCAACATCTGATTAACCTTCCATGAGCTTTCCATAATTGTATAGTCATAATTTCAGATTCACTGTTCTTACTGTGCTTTCTCCACGATTTTCAGACTTGGCATTAAATTCTGTTTTTTCTTTTTTAAGTTTTGGCAGTGTTTGTCATAAAGCAAAAGCAGGTATCCGTGAAGTCTCCTTAAATTGATAGTTTTATCTGATGACCTGGGTTTTGGTGTGCAATGTTTGATACATCTCAGCCCAGTTTATAGGATTATTTCTTTAAAAGCTTTTAGGCACATACTCATAGCTCTGTGTAAATTCCTTTATCTAAACACAATTGAGATGTGTGGTCATAGCAACACCACTATGTCAGGAATGTGTGCCCTCTGAGTATATTTTCACTTGTATGAATAGTTATTTTCTGTTCATGTTTGTTGATTTATTCAACAAGTATTTGCTGAGCCCTTACTACTGTGCTAGAATTACTAGGGTCTCAGAAAAATAAATAAGATTCTGCCTGTCTGTTATAACATATATTGGCAAAAACTAATGCAAAGGGAATGCACATGTGTTCTGGATATTTTAAAACAAAGGGATCGCTTTTGACATCGGGAGGCTGATGCCTACTGGGAGCTCTAAGCCCAGGTCTAGGTTGAATATATAATACTCAGAGACAGCTAAAGAAGTACCATTTATACTGAGTCTTTTTTGGGGTGGGGGTGGGGGGCTGGGGATAGCACCCATCAGGGTTTAACCACTGAGCCACATCTCCAGCCCTTTTTGTTATTTTACCTTTTTTAAAAATATTTATTTTAGTTGTAGATGAACACAATACCTTTATTTTATTTTTTTATGTGATGCCAAGGATCGAACACAGTGCCTCATACATGCTAGGCAACTGCTCTACCACTGAGCTACAACCCCAGCCCTGTTATTTTCCTTTGAGATGGTCTCCATAAGTTGCTGAGGGATCCTCCTACCTCAGCCACTATGCGAATCTTGATGTACTAGTTTTCTTTAAAAAAAAAAAAAAAAAAAATTTAATTAGTTGTAGATGGACACAATATCTTTATTTTTATTTATTTTTTTTTTTATTTTTTTAATGTGGTACTGAGGATTGAACCCAGGGCCTCGTGCATGTGAGGCAAGCACTCTACCACTGAGCTAAAACCCCAGCCCATTGAAGTACTAGTTTCTAACCGAAAGTTCTTTAGTCATCCACTCTTCACCACCTGAGGCCAGTCTTCATCACCATCATTTCAGTTATTGTGTTGCCATAGTTTGCATCAGTTTCTTAGAAATGCTCAATAAATACACTTGGATGCTTTCCCCTTAAAAAAAAAAAAAAAATCTGAAAACCAGCTAAAATGTCTACCTGAACTCAGAATGGATATTTAGAAGTTTTTAGTTTGCTTGTTTTGAAAAAATGTACAGAAAAGTGTTCTTATGTGACATTTTAAACATTTAGGTTACTAGAGGTATTTTTTTCTTATTATAGATAGTTGCCTGTTACTTAGGATGATGTTTACTCTTGATGTAGAAAAATCAGAACATTTTGATGTGTGTAAATGTGTATAAGATGCCTAATCATAACCATGTTTCTCTTCCAGATTATGTCCCCATTGGCCCCCGATTTTCTAATCTGGTATTACAGGCTCTTCTTGTGTTACTGAAAAAGGCACCTCCTCAGGTAAAAGAAATAATAATAATAATAAGGAATATTTTCACAGTCTCTTTCAGTAAATTCCATTTAGTGGTGTACTGTTTCTGAATAAGCCAGGTTGTCATAAACATAAAATTCTGTTGTTGAAAGGATTTTGAAAGGTCATCTGTATTGCCATGGTTTGCAGCAATTTCTTAGAAATGTTTGTTAAAAACACCTGGATACCTTTCCCCTTGAAGGAGGGGACCAAAAAAAAAAAAAAACAAACAAACAAAAAAGCCCTACTCTGAATACCAGAGGCGTTCTGTCTAAAGGTAAATTATATTATTAAGTGATTTTTTTTTCTTTTCCAATTCTTAAAATATCAAAATCTGACAATTTCAGTTAGTATTGTTTCTTGCTTTATAAATTCTCCAACATATTCTACATCTTTCCCCACTCTACCTCCCAAGAGAGATGATGATATTAATGTAGAAGGGATTCAAAATGTGTTCCTGTTTGTTGCATTTAAGAGTTTTTATTTGAGGGCTTTTAAGTTTATTTACTATAGGCAAGGCTTTTTGTTTGTTTTGTTTTGTTTTTTAACTTTTACAGATGTTGAGTCATCGTTGTAAGAGTCTTCTGTAGTCACATGGTACTTTTAAGGAATGATATTATAGTCAGGCTCATTTCTACTGATGTGGCTACTAGAGACTGGTGATTTTCTTAGCTTAACAAATTTAAACCAACCTTTATAGGTTGGTTAAATATTGTAATTATATAGGGGCTGCCAGAGCATGTTTGGTTATGTCTCAAGATAAATTCTCTTGATTGATTCTCTGTGTTATAACCTTGACAAAATGCCAATCAAGTCATATTCAAAAGGCTTAAGCATTAATTTGGAAAACATCTTAGTGTCTATATGGGAATTTTGTACATGAATATATATATCTATAGGGAAAATATTTAATGTTAAGTTGATGAATCTAATTTTTAATTTAACAGTTAAAATAATGTGTATGTATATTTTACATTTAAGGATAAAGGACTATCCTGATTTTCTAGATTGAGGGAATTTTTAAAAATTTCTAGAGTAGTGAAAGAAATCTAACCTATAATACCCTTAAATTTGCTACATATATGCACTGTGGGAGGATTTTTAAACCCTCGTTCCATAAATCATTATTCCCAGTACTGGAATTTGAGCTTATACTAAGGCTTAAGTTGGAGAAGTGACTCTATTTTTCCCTTTTCTGATTCCTTCAATATTCTTATAAATATGTAAATATGTCTAAGGTTGATGAAACAACAATAATCTCTAAAATGTATTCTGCTGTCATGTATAACTAATTAGAACAAATTTTAAAATTTTTCAATTATAATTTCTACCCAATACCTATGTAGGTATCACAACCTCAAAAATCCCTTTTTTAATGAAGTTAGCATATTTAAAATTATTAGAATAAAAAAATGTCTTCTGGGCATTTAAACTTATTTCTTGTAATATTCAGTTTTTTTATTTAAAAAATATGCTAAGAGTCACTTGGGAGAAGGAAGAATAATTTTCAATGCTATTTTGAACAACTTGTTCTTTACATGGTTAAATACTACATACATTGATTTAATTAAGATACATCTTCTGGCTGAAAGTTTTTTGTAATCCAAAATAGATTCTAATATAGAAATAAACAGAAAATGTTTAAATTTTGATTAAAAACTTAAGAAGAACTTTATATTTATTAGAATAATTGTAAGATTCTTAAGGAACATTATCTTATGCTTTTAAATCTCACATCTGGCATAGAGTCTTACACATATATGCTTCATGAGTAAGTTATTCAACAAAAAATATATCCTATTAAATATAAATTTTTATATCTTCTCATTTTGGTGGGCTTAAGTGTTTTAGTATTGTTTGAGTTTATATTTAGAACAGGGTATGATTAAAGTAGAAACATTAAAAAATAAGTAAAGTTCAAATGGTCAATAAGTACACAAAAAGAGTTAACATCATTCATCATCAGGGTAATGCAAATCAAAACCAATTCAGTGAGGGACCATTTCATACCTACTAGGTTGGATCTAGTCTAAAGGTCAGATAATAATACGATGAAAAAATTGACACCCATCTAACACTACTGGTGAGAATGTAAAAATTGTGCAGTCTTTGGAAAATAATCTGGTAATTCCTTAAAAGGTTAATCATCAAGTTAGTAGATGGCTCATCAATTCACTCCCAGGTAGGTACCCAAAAAGAAAACATTTGCCTATACAAATTATTGTATATGGATGTTTTTGGTAATATTATTCATAAAAGAAGTAGAAACAATACAAATGTTCATCAAATAAAATAAAATCTAATGTATCCCTACAGTGGAATACTATTTACCAATTAAAAAATGCAGTACTGAATGTGCTACAACATGGACAAACCTTGAAAACACGTAAAGAAACCAGTCCCAAAGGCCACACTATACAATTCCATTTATACAAAATGCTCAGAATTGGCAAATTTATAGAGACAGAAAGTATATTAGTGGCTGCCTGGGGCTGAGAGGGGTGGATGGGGAGACTAGGAGGTGACTGCCAGTGGGTAGGGAGTTTCTTTTTTGGACTGATGAAAATACCCTAAAATTGATTGTGGTGACAGTTGCACTTATCTGTGAATATACTAAAAACTGTTTGTTGTGTGCTATGTGAATTACATCTCAATAAATTGGTCACAGTTTTTAAAATGTGGTTTCAGATGCTACTTCAATGATGAAAAGATAATTATATGGAGAGTTAGAAGTGAAGGGTGAGCATCCAAGGTACATGGCTCAGCTTGGTTAGAAACAGCAATTAGATCATTAAAAAGGGATGTGGAACAAACTTCTCTAAGGACTGAAGAGAAAGGATACAGGAAACATAGGAGTAAGAGATCTGGTTGCCTTAGTGATGGGAAATGGCAGGGATTCTCTTTTAAAGGAATTAATCTAGAATTCGTTCACTCTGACCTGGTCTGCCTAAGATGACCTGTAGTATAAGTAGCAGGAGAAATTAATATTTGTAATATTTTTAATTGGAACATATTTAAGAAAATAAAGAATGTCTTTTCCGTATCATGTTGTTTTGTAAAATTAGTTTATATTATCTCAAGAAAATAAAGGAAAAATGTTCAGGCTGATCTAATATCAAGAATGTTTGTAACTCTAAAGTGGGAGGATTCACTTCACCAGTCCATTATCAAGTAGGTTTTTCAGATGTTTTCAGTTTAAAATGTATATATATATGCATCTGAATGTTGTAAGGTGCATAAAGGTAGAAAACTATTATTTACCACTGGCAAGAAAACAAAAGATGTGGGCATTTTTCTTTAAAAAGAGAACTGTACATGGATTACAATACAGCAATCATATCAGTCACAGAATCCTTAATGTTGCATTTGTTGTAAATCTAGCTTTCACACAGAAAAATTGTGTGTGCATGTGTGCACATGCTCAAATAAAAGAATCCCTCCAGGGGCACTATGTTGTTATGTATCAAGATATTCTCTTTTTCCACTTCCACCCCTCCCCCACCCCTCCCTTCTTGTAAATTGGCTTATTAAAACTGGTTCACAAGCCCTCCTTTTTTCCCTTTGTGATTGCCTTGCTCTTGGATTTTCAGTGTAGAACTAAAAATTCAAGTCAGATTTCAGTTACTAGGATAATTTTCTTTGAATTTTAAATTTTTCTAAGTAAATGCATAGATTTTTAATGAACCTGGTATTCAGTGGATTTGCTTTAAATTTAGCTGGAGAGTTAATTTCATGATTGATTTATTAGCCCTTTGAAAGTATAAAAAGTGGTATCCGTAGTTCATGAAGACTGAAAAACATCATCACATTTTGTTTAGCATCTTTTTAAAACCAATTAAAAGCTTTTCTAAAATGGATTGAACAGGAGAAAATAAAACATGTTCCCTAGGTCTTTATTTCAATCAAGTTTCCCTGTGTTCTGCAGGAGAAGAGATCGAGGGGGGATAGAAAAATTGAAAAGGGCTGTCCCAGCAGGGAGCCCAGCCGGAGAAAAGGCTTCTCTGAGAACTCAGCAGCAGCAGCTCAGAAAGCTCCCGGCCTGCTTCATCTACATGCAGAGTCACACAAGGCATGGGGGCGCTCACCGGCACACAGAGGTTTCACATGTGCTTCCCTGCTGATTCCTGTGAAAAGCTAACAATTGGCTTGGAGGGTAAAAGACCACTGCAGTTCACCCTCCCTGAGCTGGACGTACAATTTGTCCAGTGTTAGGAAATGTCCGGCTTAGCAGTGAGAGGCTTGAAGACACCCCTCCTTCCATGAGATTCCTAAAGCCTTCTCTTTTACTTGATGACACTGGGGCTCTTTTCAAGTTTTGCAGATTTATGGAAGTTGAGGGGGATGTGCTTTTCCAGATCAGGAGGATGAAAGCCTCGGTCTTAATGTCAAGGAAGAAGCAGCAGTAAGAAGGGAAGGCCAGGTAGATCCTGCAGCCAGCAGCACCAGGGCTTTATTATTTCCCTCATGGGTCTCTTCTCCCACTTTTTTTTTTTTTTTTTGAGGCAAAATAAATTGCCCAAAAAGGGGCACCTCAGACTTAAAATGATGTGACTTTCTAGTTTCTTCTACAAGTGTAGGAATAGTCAAAACCCTTTAACTTGACTATTTAATTCTGGGTATTCTTGGCAGTGGTAGAAATCAAATTGGAAGACCTCATCTGAATATAACAGAATAATCTGGTAGTTTATGGAGAACCAACCCTTTTTCAGTGCTTTCCAACTTTTTAATACATAGAAAAAGATAACATCTGATGATATACTTGGGTAAGTTGGCAAGAACACCCAAAACTGGCCCAGCCACCCCAGGACCCCCAGCTTTCCCCTCAGCTGGTAGGAGTGGCTATTTTAATCCACATATCCCTCATTGGCAGCATACCAGTGGAATACTCTGGAAACTTACACTTCTACAAAAGAAGAATATTACTTGAAATCCCTGGCAGTATTACTGAAGAAGAGCTCAGAACTTACAGTTGTTTGTTGTTTTAATTATA